CGGGCCCTCCGTATCATCTCTCTTGGCGGTAGACGATCAGTTCCTAACCTACCCTCCTTGAAGGAAAGAAGAGATGCAGCAGCTGTAAAACTCTTCAAGGACATGTTAAAACCGGAACATCCATTGCATGACCTTGTGCCGCCCCAGAGATGTACAGCCACTGGCAGGCAATTAAGGAACAATCAGGAGTTTACGCTTCCGAAGGCCAGAACTGAACGTTTAAGGGGATCATTCCTACACATTGCAGTCAAACTATACAATAAGTCTGTTTCCTAGACTAAGCTTTGGATTCAGTGCTCTGTTTAATGTTGTAGCTAGCATTTGTGGTAGCCGCTTGCATATTGTTACCCAGCATATTGCATAAGTGTTGTAAAAAATGTACGCAATTCAGGGTATATGTATGATTGTATGTATCCCTGCTGATTGTATGTTTTGAGGAAGAAAAATAAATAAAAAATAAAAAAAATTGATATAATCCCTAATGGAAATGAAATGAAATCTTATTTTCATAATCAATGGGAAGAAGAAAAATTTCGTCATTCGGAATGGTTAACGAGAAGTGCAAGAAAATGGAAATTCGTAGATGACCTTAATCTAACAGAAAGCCGGAAAATCACCATGACATCCCATCTCCAAACTGATCTCGACAATCTCGATTCTTGGACAAAAAGACAGAAAATGAAACTGAACCCTAAGAAATGTAAAGTAAGGCACGTTTTCTTTACAAAAGTCACACCGATACCACCACCACTATCCATCGCCGGCGAAACACTGAACGAAGTAAAAGTTGTTAAGTTACTCGGCCTATTCGTGCAAGCGGACGTTGGCTGGGAAACACATGCTGACCACGTAGTGAAGTCCGGTAACAGAAAACTATTCCTGCTCCGACAGCTACGACGCCTCGGCCTCTCTCCGGACGATTTACTCACTTGTTATAAAACCTTTGTCAGACCAGCTTGTGAGTATGCTGCTCCAGCATGGCAACCGGGACTCACAAAGAAACAACGAACAAGGATCGAGACCATCCAGAAAAGGGCTTGTCGGACAATATTGGGCCCCGCCTACACTTCCTACCCAGAGGCATGCACACTACTCACCTGCCGACCCTAGAGAACCGCCGCCGCCAGCTGTGCTACAACTTCGCTACACGACTGCTGCATTCAGAGACTTTTAGAGACTGGTTACCCTCATACCGTAGCGAGATCAGTGCCAAACAACAAGATCATCACATCTACTTGACTCTGTTAAAGCACGTACGAACAGATACCAAAAAAGTCCTATCCCATATATGACAACCCTCCTGAACGAGCTTGACACATAAGTCAACACTGTGTACTTTATAATATGACCCCCTTCTTTATAATTACTTAGTATAAATTCTATATGATTAATAGAAATATTTTTAAAGATTTTAATAATTTGATATAGCACACGAATGTCCATCTTTTAACCAACGCATTGGACCAATTTTAATATACATTGTACACTTCGACTGTACATAAAGTGTAGCTGTAATTTTTGATTTTTAACCTTTAGTAATAATTGTTATAAGTCTATGATCATGTATGTAATATACTATGTACTGTCACCATAATTCAGTCTTAGGACTGCAAGTGTGACATGTGTGGTGGAAATTTCAAATAAACCATTCTTATTCTTATTATTAACATCATTTGGCGAGGGTATGAGGTGGTAGAATCTTGTTATTATTTAGAAGGTCAGGTCAAAAGAATTTATTCCACCCCCCACCCCCACAAACACACACAACACACTAAAAATAGGGTATTTTTTCCTCGTTTGGACCCCCTTCCTCGAGGGAAATCTTTCAGAACTGGACCAATGATCTTGCAAGATGGTGCTGACGACGGCCACGACGAAAGTATGGAGGAACCAGCTGAATCACAAGGTGTTGGCTTTTGAAAATAATGGTAGGAGTTGAAAATGAAAAGGGCAGTTAGATCATGCTTTCACGATGCACACCATTGCGGCTGCAGGTTCTTCCCTGGCACCATTCAAGAGGCAAAAAGGAATAAGGAAAGCTGGAGTCGCATTTGAAACGGGGTCTGCTCGACATGTTCTCGGCATAGACGCCGGCCTTTACGGCTCCCTGTCGGGGCGCTGAGGCGGCTTCTATTTAAAATTGCAAAATTGCATAATAAATAGATGGTAAAATTGCACTGTATTCCGTAAAATTTCACTGTATACTAATACAACTGTACTGTATTCCGTAAAATTGCACTGTATACTAGAAAACTTGCACTGTATTCCGTAAAATTGCACTGTATACTCTGGCACCCCTGAACTCTAACACTCTAACATATTTTCGAGATCAGCATGAAAGTTCATCTGAGTTGGTAAATTACATTATGAAAAACTTAAACTTTTCTCCAACTCAAAATTTGACTCACCAGAAATTTTCGACCGAATCACTCAGTCTTCCTCAGCTATCTGACCCAAATGCTGTGGACACGTGATTTTTCCCACGTGTGACGTCAGCAAAGGGTCAAAGGTTGTCCGAAGTCGATATCGCCCCCCGTCCCGGTTTATTTATTTATTTATTCAAAATTACGACATGACAATACAAAGTGTGCACTAGGCAGCAAGTATGCTGATAGCGTGCACACCCAACACATACCTGTACATATGACATAGAAAACAACAACAATAAATAGTTAAAGCAAGATTATACACAAGTATACAATTTTCATATAAATTACACCTATAATTAAAATCAATTATTATATAACTATACAGCAAAATGAATGTTAAGTTAGGCTCAGCTGGAAGAGGCACAGAATCTTTTTGATTGGGCAATGAATGTGTGAAGTGCATGTGTGAGTTTAATATTTGTATCTAAGTTATGACCTGGAGAACCCTGGAGCAGAACAGATGTGGTTAGGTGATGTTGAGTAAGGTGTTCAACAGTGGAGGCAAGGGTGTTGCGTGGCTCAGTGTGGAGAGGGCAATGTAACAAGTAGTGTGGTACTGTTTCAGAGGAGGCCCCACAGGCACACGTCTTGTCTTTAAGGCTCATTTTGTGCAGGGTGCAGTTCAATTGGCTCCAGCCCATGCGCAACCTTGCAGTATAGATGTTAAACTGCCTAGAGCCGAGACTACGGTGCAACTGATAGTGCCTTGGTGTGAAGAGGTGCTTTTTACACACCCGTTTGAATGCAGCGAGACTACTGACATCCTTAACTGTCTGGGGCAGCTGGTTCCATTGTGAACAGGTGAACGGAATGAAGCTGGTTTTGTAAGTCTGTGTCCTGCATCGCGGTAGGTGGGGGTGAGTATTGTTACGGAGTTGGAGCCTTGAAGTTGACTGGGCACCTCTTGTGGATGGAATGAGTGACTGTAGGTGAGGAGGAACAAGTCCGTTTGTAAGTCTGTACATGACTACCAGTGAGTTGTACTTTCGCCTGGTGGAAAGGGTGTCCCATTCAAGTTCTTGTAGAAGTTGAGAGCTGGGAGTACCCTTCATGGCTCCAGTGACAAGACGACCGGCGTAGTACTGGACCTGTTCCAACATCCTGCTAGCTGTGCTGTTTAAGTCACCCAGGAGCACCGAGGCATACTCCAATTTGGGACTAACAAGTGTAAAGTATGCTGTCTCAAGAGCTTTCCTGCCCAATTTGCCCTTGGCCTTGGACAAGACACCGAGCAGTTTCCTGCATTTGGTTGTGGTCATTTGGACATGGTCCGTCCACCTGAGGGCCTGGTGGATAGTTACCCCCATGTGGCTGTAGAATGGTACTTGCTCCACAATTTTCCCAAGCAGGTAGATTGGAGGAAGTTGGACGTTCTTGCGGTCAGACTTGACACACAATACCTTGCACTTATCGGGATGGAGTTGCAGTCCCCAATCCATGAACCAGGTGGACACCAGTTGCAAGTCTGTGTTGGTGGTGTTAGCTACTGCCTGCACTGTTCTGGCTGAATTGTAGAGAGACGTGTCGTCTGCAAAGCAGTTGAGTCCAGATTTACACGGCAGGTCCATCAAATCATTGAGATACACAAGAAATAGAAGGGGTCCCAGGATGCTACCCTGGGGAACTCCTGCGGAAGTGGATCCCCATGATGAGGCGACACCATTAAACACGACGCGTTGTTGCCTGTCGGTAAGGTAACTCGAAAACCAGTGAAGTAGTGACCCTCCCACGCCATAACGACTCAGTTTGTAAAGGAGGCTATGATGCCACACTGTATCGAAAGCACGTCCCGGTTGAGCCACCGGTTGAATCACCGGGACACACAGTGGATTTGGAGGGGGTCAGAATCTTGGATACCGAACAGGATTACTTCAAGAGAGGCATAAAAGAGGCCATATACATCAGGGCACTTCAACCATCGCTCAACCGGGACGGGGGCGGGGGGCGATATCGACTTCAGACAACCTTTGACCCTTTGCTGACGTCACACGTGGGAAAAATCACGTGTCCACAGCATTTGGGTCAGATAGCTGAGGAAGACTGAGTGATTCGGTCGAAAATTTCTGGTGAGTCAAATTTTGAGTTGGAGAAAAGTTTAAGTTTTTCATAATATTTTCGAGATCATAGCGCCCGGGAAGCAAATTATAATCGGGACAAGGTGCTCGTTCCGCATAAGCATTGCAGGAGTGCCATCTTGCGGGATATGTCTGAAAAACAGGCTGCAGCAATGGTATGGCCGCAGCTAAATGCAGCCATTTCCCCTCAAAATGCTCACAAAAATGGCTCTAACATCACTAAATAAAGAATTCAATATACGTAATTGAACAATAAATGTAATATACGTAGAAATAACGCTGTTAAGGGCATAAAGTTTGAAATTGCAGTCTTGCATGCGATTTTCGTTCTGATGCGGTTCTGTTTTGGTGAACCCCAAAAATGGCGCAGCAGGTGGAGTTGAATGCGCTGAACCTTCAGCAGCTGGAAATGCTGAAAAATCAGTTGGATCAGGTCGGTATGCTGCATGTGAAGGGTTGTCCCATTATCTACAGTATTTCAGCAATGCGTTTCGGACGACAGGCGAGGTGAAAATTGCCACAGAAATTGAATACGCGGCACCTTTTGTGATGATGGTGGGCTGGCATGGAGTGGGGAGGGGGGTGGATTGAAAAAAAAGTATGACTTTGTAACGGACTCTCTTTTATTTTTAACACAGAAACTCTTGTCCAAAAGACATGTGAGTCATTCTGAAAGCATGCAAGTCAGGTGAACAGCAAATGACTCCGATTCAAACTCATGACTTCCAGGTTCCCAGGCAGGATTCCTCACCCAGTATAAAATTTTAAAAAATGCTTTGTGATAACATGTAAAGTTATTAGTGGCCGTGTATTATATGTTATGTTCTTACTAAAGGACGGAAGCAAATTTTGGCCGGTGCTGGTTTAGGGTGAGTTTCAGTTGATTGACGGGATGTGATCCAGTATTCCCGACCCTGGGTGGTAGGATGTAGTACATGTGTGAGGTCACCGAAGCAAAAGTACCTAAGTAAGTAACAGGTTCCTTTCTCAGCACTCAGTGTACAGAGGCCTAGAGGTGAGGCTAGTCTAAAATCTCAGGTTTAAAGTCTAAAATCTCAGGTTTCTTGCTGTTGGATGTTTCCAGGAGACAGAAATGTTTGCAGGATCTCTGCAGTCCCTGAAGGCTGCTCAGCAGAAGTTTGTGGAGTCACAACAAAACCTAGAGACCCTCGTACCCAATAATGAAGGTGAGCAGTACTTAGTCATTGTAAAAACTGTAACCACAGTTTCCTGAAGTTTTTAGGTCGTACTTTAGGCTACACCGATTTCATTTCATGGATGACATCCTCTGAAGACCCAAACTAGTGCGCAAATAAAAAAAAAATTCCGGTCAAAAATAAAAATGCCACCAAACCATATAGAAATACAAAGCTGCCATTGTAAATTTGCGGCAGTACATAGCGACGTATACGACAAGCCGGCACATACTGGCTTTTTGTGAAATTTATGAATCGGCACTGGAAGGATGTTCTCGGGGTCTGACTCTGAGTCTGGGGCCTGGGTGCCATCCTCCAGAGTTACCACCTCCATATTGTCGCTATTAACAACGATGGAGTACCCAGGCCTAGAGCCAGGCCAGAGCCTCAGTCAGAGGACGTGATCATTTTTTTTTTGTGTGTGTGTGAACAGGTGAAAATCAATGCGCGCGTGGATGTCATCCATAAAATTAAGGCGGCGTGGCCTTAGGTTAGGTAAGAGAACAGTTACTGTAATTCACTTCATGTTCACGGTAGCAAAAGTTCGCAGTCTGAGAAAAATGGATGTGTTCACAGAACTATATGTTCATGGTAGCCGTGGACGACTCTGTAACCCTTTTTGCATGATAATGCCGGGTACATAGTCGTGGTGCGATCCATAGGCCAAAACCAACCTTTGCCGTGCCGGGCCTCATGCAACGGGCCGGCCCCGGTTTTTTGGTGTCGCTGGCTTCCTAACGCACTCACCTGCCGGGCCGGGGGGATAAGACCCTAAACAAACGCAGCATTTAACCACAACACGGCCTCGGAGCACGTAACTCCATACAAAT